TTTTTTTTTTTTGGTCTTTTTGAGACAGGGTCTCCCTGTAGCCCTGTAGCTGGCCTGGCACTCAATCTCACAGAGATCCACCAGCCTTTGCCTCCCAAGTGCTGGATTTAACGGTGTGGCCACCACGCCCAGCTAGAAGTGATAATTTCTTTAAATTAACCCTAGGGCTGGGGTGATGGCTCAGTAAGTGCTTGTTGCGCAAGTATGAGAGTCTGAGTTCAAAGCCTCAAGAACCATGTAAGAGCTAGCCTGGTGGTCTCAGGCCTGCAATCCCAGGAGATCCTTGGGCTTGTTGCCCATCTAATCTCACTGATTGGGTGCATGCCAGGTTCAGTGAGTGACCCTGTCTCAAAAAATAAGGTGGAGAGTGATTGAGAAAGACATTTGATGTCAACCTCTGGCCTCCACACACATGCACATGCACACAAAGGAAAACATAAAAACAAATAAAAACACAAATCTTGATATCAGAAGAGCACACATTGAAACATCAAAAGTGTGAACATCAAGGTTAATATTAATGTCGATATTTACTAGCTTAACCAGAGTCATAAAGTAATATAAAAATGACAATTTACTTGACAGGAGGTGTAACTCAGTGGTAGAGTGCTTGCCTAACATGTACCAAGGCTGTAGACTCAATTCTCAGCACTGCTAAAAGAAAATAAAAATAATTACAGTTCACAGTGGAAACATACCAGTCATGAATTTTTATGTGCCCAAAGAAGGTGCTTATCTTGGAGTGGGGACAATTAGGAATATTAAAATCCAACAGAGAGGCTGGGAAATGGGCCAAAGTGCTTGCCTTGCAAGTGTGAGGACCTGAGTCTGGATTCCCAGAACTTGTGCCAAGGACCAGGCATGGTGGGAAGCACCTGTCATGTCAGTCTTGTGATGGCAAGATGGGAGGCAGAAACAAGCAGTTCTCCCAAGGCTCAGGGACTGCCTATCCCAGCCTCCTTGGTGAAACTCCAAGCCAGTCAGAGATCCTGTCTGAAACCAAAGGTGCTGGAAAACCAGCACCTGAGGTTGCCCTATGGACTCTAGAAGCATGCATGCATGTGTGTGCCACTTGGACAATGCATGTGTGGGCACACACACAAATTTTTAAAAATCCAACAAACAATTATAAGCTCATAAAATAAAGAGTTATTTAACAACTAAGCTTCATGGACCAGCAAGATGGCTCAGCAGGTAAAGGCACTTACTGCCAAGCCTAATTACCCGAGTTTGAGCCCCAGGACCTGCATGGTGGAAGGAGAGAGCCGATTCCAGCAGATTGTCCTCTGACCTTCACCTACACACACACACACACACACACACACACACACACACCCAAAGTCATGTAAATGTAATGTAGTAAGCGTAATAAATAAGTGTAATAAAAATTAAAACAAAAAAAATCAAGCTTCAAATACATGAAATGCATACAAAAAATGTTGATTTATGTCATTAATATGTTGGGGTAGTTTATGAAATAATGCTGCGTGGAATTAAATTTTTATTATTTTTCAGGAGATGAGCTATACTTAAAAGATTCAGATTTTTTAGAAAAGTATTTGTCTACTGAAAAAAAGACTGAAGAAATCATGAAGGAAGGCAAGACGTTCCACCGAATAGTGATGCACAACTCTTATGTGTACGATATCCACGTGACTATCGAGTCAAAGAATAAGCAGGTTTATCCTAAGAGCTATGTAATAAGCCTGAGTCCTGCTGCCCACTTGTGAGTTGGTCTACATTGGACTGATACTAATGAATAAAGCTTGAATTAATGAATTCAGTTAATGAATTAAACTTCTTTGAAACCTAAGGAACTTTGTTCCTAGAAAAGTTAGCATGCAGCATTTTCTGTCAAGTGCATTGTGGAGTTGTCTGTCATATTTAAACTACACAGTATACCACAAGTATGAAATTTATAGTTTTGATTTTGTTTAAAATAAAAATATTCACAATAGTTCTCACGTCTGTATTGTTTTATTAGCTCAATTAATACATCTTGGTTTGAATAAAATATGTTCCCGCCGTTGTTCTAACTATCCTGTGTGTTTGCATATTTCCCGGTGTGCTGTGGAGGCTGAACCTTGAATCTCAGATTTTCTGCAAGAATTAATTTAAGGGTACCTGACAGATGGTGTGAATGTGAAAGGTCTTGCATTTGGTCCCCAGCTGTTCTGGTAGGCCGTGGAACCTTAGGGGACGGGACCTAGCTGGGAAAAGTGGGTCGCTGGAGGCATGGGTCTTGAGGATTACACTCCCACTTGGGTTCCGAAGAATTCCCTCTCTGCTTGGTGATGCACGGTGGGCTGGGCATGGTGCCTCGTGCTTCTGCCATGGATGCTGCGTTGCCTTCACCACCATGAAACTGAGCCAGGATAAATGCTTCTTCCCCTAAGTTGTTTCCATCAGGCATATGGTCACAGCAAGGAGAAAAATGGCAATGCAGGCGCACAGTGACAAAGTGAGACAAAGTTCAAGGGATGGCGTCATTTTCTTCCCGTGTCTTTAGCTTGATAATTAAGATACAATATTTGGTTTAAAACCAAAAGATGTTAGTTTTGACAATTCCTAAATTTTAATTTATTACGTTTATTGTGGGGTGTGTGTGTGTGTGTGTGTGTGTGTGTGTGTGTGTGTGTATGTGTACTCAAGAGCACAAACAGGGAGCCCGTGGAAGGCAGAGGAAACTTGCAGGGATCAGTTCTTTGCACCGTGTGGGTCCAAGGGATCTAACTCAGGTCGTCAGGCTTAGTGGCAGGCAATTTAACCCACTGAGCCATCTCTCAGGTCCCATATTTCCCAAATTCTAAAGACATGAAGCCACACAAAACACAGGCTGGTGAGGTAGCTCAGTGGGTAAAGGCACTAACCATGCAAGTCTGGCAGCCTGACTTTGGAACTGGTATTAAGGTGGAAGAAAAGAACCAACTCTACAATGTTGTCCTTTGACCTTTACACATACACACACCATGACATGTGCACCCCCTGCCCACGTCATGCATACAGACACATAGTTGAAAAAAAAAATTCAATCTTGGGGCTGGAGAGATGGCTCAGTGGTTAAGAACACTGAATGTTCTTGCAGAAGACCCAGGTTCGAATCCCAGCACCCACATGACAGCTAACAACTGTCTGTAACTCCAGTTCCAGGGGATCCAACGCCCTCTTCTGACTGTGGACATTGCATGACACAGGTGCACTTACACACATGCAAGTGATACACATATACACAAAATATTAAAGAGGTTAATTAGTGCAAAGAGGTTAAAGAGATATGTTAAATTCTGAGGTTTCAATATGTTTGATAGAGTTTTTCACCTCCATTAAAAGAGTTTTTGTTGATTAGGGGCGGGGATGGGACATTAATTCTATTTGAAGATTTTTGTGTGATGAGTTATACACTGGATTTCACTTTTCATGAAATGCCTTGGTTTTCCAGCCAATAAAATGAAGACAGTGATTTAAAAAAAAAGGTGTGGGGGGGACTGGAGAGATGGCTCAGCGGTTAAGAGCACTGACTGCTCTTGCAGAGGACCCCGGTTTGATTCCCAGGACCCACATGGCGGCTACGAACCATCCTTAACTCCAGTTCCAGGAGAATCCGACACCCTCTTCTGACCTCCGCGGCACTGCACGACACGGGTGCACTCACATACATTCAGGCAATACACTCATACACATATAATAAAAATTTTTTAAAAATCTTAAGTATGTTATTTAATCCAAGGTACAGGAATAAAGAGCTGTGGTTCTCAATCCTGGGCACCACCCAGGAGGGGATGCTACCGCCATCTGGTGGAGAGACAGCACATGTTCGGTTAGATAGCTTGGCATAGACAAAATAGTGCCCCACAACAGTATTTGCAGAGGGTGAGCGTGAGAAGCCTGAAGCAAAATCTTATCCGACCTTGTGGTGCAGGCCTGCCATCCCAGCCACTTGGGAGGATGAGGCAGAAGGGCCAAAAGTTCAAGGCCTGCCTGAGCTGCAGAGTGAGTTCAAGGTCAACTTTGACAACTTAGATCCTGCCTCAAATCTTTTTTAAAAATTAAAATTTAAAAAGGCTAGTGGTAACACCACTTGCCTGGCATATGAAGGGCTCTACGTTCAACCCTCAGGATTGAGAAAAAGAAAGAATGTAAAGTCGGGTGGATTGTTGTTTTTTTTTGTTTTTGAGACAGGGTCTCTTGTAGCCCTAGCTGGTCTGGAACTTGCTATGTAGACCAGACTGGCCTCAGTCTCACAGAAATCCATTTGTCTCTGCCTCCCAATGCTAGGAATAAATATGCACCACAAAATATGGTGTAAAATCTATTTTTTTAAGATTTATTTTTAATTACGTGCATGTATATGTGTGTGAGAATACATGCACATGAGGGCAGGTGTCCATGGAGGCCACAAGAGGGTGCCAGATCCCCTGGGGCTGTAGTTACAGGTGCTTGTGAGTCATCCAACATGGGTGCTGGGAACCAAACTGGTCCTCTGAAAGAGCAGCAAGCACTCTTAACTGCCAAGCCATCTCTCTAGCCCTAAATCTTTTTTTGGCGGGGGGGAGATAAGGGGGAGGGAGGGTTTGAGACAGGGTCTCCCTATAGTCTTAGCCGGTCTGGTCACTATGTAGACCAGGCTGACCTTAATCTCACAGAGATCCACCCGCCCCTGCCTCCCAAGTGCTGGGACTAAAGGTGTGAGCCAATACACCTAGCTTTGTTTTTGCTTTTTGTGTTTTGTTTTTAAGGAAATGTTCCCAGTATGTAATTTTTTTTTTAACACAGGGTCTCCCTGTAGCCCTTGCTGACCTGAAACTCTCTCTGTTTCGATCAGCCTGCCTCTGCTGTTTGCTGGGTCCTTTTTCCTCTGCCCCCTAAGTGCTGTGATCACGGGCCTGTGACATTGCCGAACTCCGTGCTACTGTTTTTTATCTAAATGAACCTTGTCTCCTTCCAAGGATTCATTCTGGGAGATTGTCAGATGACTTCCTACCTGTAGTCACACCCTTCTGCAACAGCCCAAAATAGTATGGCTGTCTTCATGAGCTGAAAAATTGTATTAGAGCCTGCTCATGTTTATGGCTCTTTTATCTTTTAGTCTTTTTCACCTAATGGCTGCCTGGGCCTCTGACACAAACAGAAAGCTGATGGCTTTTCCCTGTTCCTTACTATACCTCGAATGACTTTAACCCTACTCCCTACCATCCTCTCTAGCACACAGTCAGGAAACTTGTTTTTACGATACCATAATTTGCTCTTTTGTTGTTCTGGAGATGGAAGCCAGGGTCTTGTGCACATTAGGCAAACATTCTATTGCTGAGCCAAGCCCCCAGCCTCTCATTTGTGGATTTTAGGCAAGTGCTCTACCACTGAGCTGTATCCCTAGCCCCTTTTTTAATGTAAAAAAATTGTGTGTGTACATGTGCACATGTGTGCACATGTATGTGGAGACCAGAGGTCGATGTCAGGTATCTTCCTCAATTGCTCTCCACCTTATTTTTTTGAAATGAGTCTCACTGAACCTGTAACTCAGTAATTAGGTTGGGCTGACTGGCCAGCAAGCTTGGGGTTCTGCCTGTCTCTGCATCCCCAGCACCCGGATTACAGGCACTCATCATCACATCCAGTTTTTTACATAGATGCTGGGGATCCAAATGCAGGTCCTGATGCTTGCATGGCAAGTGCTTCATCAGCTGGGCTGTCTTCCCAGCCTTTTTACTTTTCATTGTAAAAGTCTCACAAAGTTGTCCAGGCTGGCTTTGAGCTCACTCTGTAGGCCAGGCAGACCTTGAACTTGTGGTCTTCCTGCCTCAGCCTTCTGAGTGGCTGAGATTACAGTGCTTGATACCACTTATCTGTATGGTGATAAGTTCAGAAAGAGGGGGTGGGAAGATGACTTAGTGGTAAAGTGCTTCCAGTATAAGCAAAAAGACAATGGATTCTGATCACTAGTGCCCAGGTAAAAGCTGGGTATGATGCTGCCTATAACCACAGTGCTAGAAAGCTAAGACAGGCAGATCCCAGGAGCCAGCTGACCAGCCAAAACAGTGTGCTCCAGGTTCAGTGAGAGACCCTGTCTCAGAAAATAAGATGGGTCGGCCCCAGCTCTGCTTCACTGTTGGGGATTGGTTCTGTCTTTAGCCTCTGCCTCCGCAGTCTCTTATTGCAGTGGGTGGCTGTTAATACAGAAATCCATAACTGGCCAGTGCTGAGAAAAAGGGATGTTGGGGTGCTTGGCCCTAAATAGGACATCTAGATCAGTCTCTCCAAGGCTTTGGGAACATTGTGGAAGAAGGGGCAGAAAGAATATAAGAGCCAGAGGATGAAAAATGTACAGCAAAAAGAGGTCCTCTGGACCTGGCACGGCCACTGCACTCATGAACTCACTACAGCTGTCTTTCTGTAACAGATCTGCACAAGACTGAGCCCCTCAACATTTCATTGTGGATGGGGTGGGGGCCTTCCTGGGGCACTATTGGCAGTTAAGGGTGGCTGGGGGAGGCATTGTTATTTTCTTCAGTGGTGTAGCCACTGGTTAGTTGCCCTTGCTCCAGGAAAGAGCCTCCCACCCACACTTGTGCAAGCACTAGGTACGCTCAGTGGGTCGCACACAAAAAGACATTGTAGGAAGGGGATTTGTTGGGAAGAAAGGTTTCAGTGCAAGAGAAAGGGGGATAAGAGGAGGACTGGGAGTGACCAAAAAACCTAAAGTTCATTATGTACATGTATAAAATTGTCAAAGAACAAAAAACAAATGGGGAAAAGGTGGGAAGTGAGAAAAACAATCCAGTGTCAGCTTCTGGCTTCTACATGCATGGGCACCCCCCCACACATGTGCACACACATACACACACAAACCTCAGAAATAGATACTAAGTCCACATATACTTTCAATATCTCTCTTTTGACTATTTCTTTTGGATGGCTTCCCTGTGCATTAGTCTAGCATTGGTACCTCAGACTCACATATCCATACTGTGTTTATTAACAGAAATAAAGATTCAGAATGCCCTATAAGATAGATGTCCTGCCAGGAGTGGTGGCACACGCCTTTAATCCCAGCACTTGGGAGGCAGAGGCAGGCAGATCTCTGAGTTCAAGGCCAGCCTGGTCTACATAGTTCCAGGCCAGCTGGGGCTATAGGAAGTCCCTGTCTCAAAAAGACAAAAAGAAAAAAAAGTTAAAAAAAAAAAAGATTAATGTCCTAAGACCTTTGAGGCCCTTGTCTCTTCCCAGGGGTAATTTGTGGTGGATTTGAACATATTTAGGCTTCTCACACGTTTTCCCTTTGTAAGCCTCCTGTTTTGTTCCAACCACTCTCCAGCTTGGGACAGTTTTCTGTTTCTTCTTCTTCCCCCGTAGACACTACTGTCTTTTGTTAGTTTCTAATGTGAATGACCTTTTGGGTTTTCTTTTTTTTTGCACATATTTGTGTGTGTATGCATGTGGGCGTGTATGCCACAGTACATGTGTGGGGGTCAGAGGACAACTTGTGGGAGTGGGTTCTCTCCTTCCACCATGTGGGTTCTGGGGACTGAACTCAGGTCGTCAAATGGCAAGCGCCTTTACCTACTGAGCCATTTCATCAGCCCTGTTTTTGTTTTGTTTTTGAATCAGGGCCTTTCTGTATAGCCCAGGATGGCCTCAAATTTGAGATCCTCCTGCCTCAGCCTCCTGAATTTCAGGATGACACATGCGCCACCTGCCAGGATCCCCCCTCCGAGCCTCCCCTGCTGGCAATATTTTAGTCTCTCTGATTCCTCCCTTTTCATTCCTGACTCCAAAAGACTAGCAAGTCCTGTTGATTCTATTACCCACATTAATTTTTAAATCATCTCTCCTGACTTGTGCACTGCTGTCCCTTAGTATAAGCTACTATCATCTCTTATTAGTTGGCTGTTAGAGCCATACACCCAGTTTTTACTATTCCCTTCACAATCCTCCTAACCCATTGAACTGGAGCAGAGATCATGAAATTGAAATGGAAGTCTGCCTTGTCATTGGCCTTGTTAAAACTCCAGTCTTTTCTTCACATTGAAATCTAAATGTGCTGTGGCAACAAGACTACACCTCTGATCTTATCATGTATCTCTCTCTTTCCCTCAGGTCAGAAAGGCCTGCCTCACTACTCAGGATTTTGCACCTATGTGAACTTGAGACAATCCCAAATCTGTCAACGCTCTTTGTACCTGGGTCTCTGTTTTTGTGACTTGAGAAACACAGATATTTTAACAGGGGCTGGAGAGATGGCGCAACAGTCACAAACACTTGCTGTTCTTCCAGAGGACTAGAGTTCAGATCCCAGCACCCATTTGGGGCTCCTCACAACTGCCTATAACTCTAGCCCCAAGGAATCCAACGCCCTCTTCTGGCCTTTAAGGGCACACACACATACACACACACACACACACGCACACACACACACACACACACACACACACACACACATGCAAGAATGCCAGAGGTTGGGTGTGGTGGTGGTGGTGGTGGTGGTGGTGTATGCCTATAATCTCCAAACTTGAGAGGCTCAGGCAAGAGGATGGTGAGTTTAAGGCTATCTTGGGCTACACAGTAAGTTCCAAGGCCAGCCTGGCATAGGGCATGAGACCTTGCCCCAATAATAACACATTTTTAAAAACCAGACTTTCAGGAGCAAAAAGGAAAAAATTACAAAGGTACAAAATAAATAATGGGATAGCTGGACAATATATATGAAATTCTGAACAGGGAGAAGTATGCATATGTTCAATAATTTTGTATCTGTTCCATGTAAAGGCTATTTATATGTGGGCTCTGAAGCTTTCCCCATCTCTGAAAAAAATCATGGGTAGAAATGCCATAGATAACTGAAAGATTAACTAATGTAAAAACTTTTTTAATGTGTGTGCAGGTACTCACAGTGGCTAGAGGGGGCACTGGATCCCTTGGAGCTGAAGTTATAGGTTTTATGAATCACTTGGCACGAGTGCTATGATCCTCTGAAAAAGCAGTAAGCCCTCTTTTAAAAAAAATATTTTATTTATTATTTTTATTTTATGTGTATGAGTGTATTGCCTGCATGTAGGTAAGTGCACCTGTGTCTCGCAATGCCCGCAGAGGACAGAAGAGACTGTCAGATCCCCTGGAATTGGAGTTATGGACAGTTGTTAGCTGCCATGTGGGAGCTGGGATTTGAACTGGGATCTTCTGCAAGAACAACCAGTGTTCTTAACCATTGACCAATCTCTCCAGCCCCTGCAGTAAGCACTCTTAACTGCTGAGACATCTCTCCAGTCTAATATAAAAAGCCTGGCAATAGAAATCTGTGGTAGAAGCCCTAATGGCAAATATGGAAATCAACTAAATATAGGCAGTAAGTCTCAATAATTATATGTGGCTCGGAAACACTGCAAATGTTCAAAAATAATTCAAGTATTAGTATGTTTGTAAAAAGAAGCTTCCACTTTTCATATAAAACTCATAGTTATTTTCATAAAAACTCCAGATTGGCCCAGGCTTGGTGGCACATGCCTAGCACTGGGGAGGCAGAGGCAGGTGGATCTCTGTGAATTTGAGGCCAAGCTAGTCTACATAGCAAATTTCACACCAGCTGGGGCCATAAGGACACCCTGATACTAAAAATGGCAGCTCTGTATTAAAAGATATTTGATTTTACAGAGCCCTAAGCTCACCAGATGACAACTTTTTTTGAGACAGGGTCTCCTGGGAGCCCTAGTTGGCCTGGAACTCAATATATAGACCAGAACTCACAGAGTTCTGCCTCTTGAACTCACAGAGATCTGCCTACCTCTGCCTCCCAAGTGCTGAGATTAAAGGCATGCGCTATCACTCCTGGCAACACAACATTTTCTATCATGTGTGACCACTGTGGTTCAAAGAAGGGACAATGGGGCTGAAAGACACGGCTCAGTAATGAACAGATAACCCAGGTTCAGTTCCCAGCACCCAATTAGGGTCTCACAACCATCTATAACTCCAGTTCCAGGGAATTTGATGCCTTCTTCTGGCCTCCATGGCCATTACATGCACATGGTGTACTTACACACATGCAGATAAAACACTCATACATTAAAAAAAAAACAAACCTGGGTGCTATATAAGCATTCTGCTTCTCAAATACCTGCCCCTCCTTTCTAATTTTCACACTGTCTTGAAACTGGTAGTCTTTTGCCATCTTGATTACCAGCGGATAAAGATGCTAGAATGGGAGCTCAAGCAATTTTGTTTGCTCAAGATTGAACTCTTGAGAATCCAGCTGTAAAACCACCTGGGCCTAGCACCTCTTTAAAGTCACAGTTCCTTTGATTTTATCAGACTATTATTCCACTTTCCCAGGTTTGTTGGCGAGATATGCCCAAGACAGCACTGAAAGCTTTCCCTGTACTTCTTGGGTAGCCTGTGTTTCACTGTGTGATCACTTCTAACTCAACCACTGTGCAACCCCATGTAAGATGAGAAAGCAAGTTTAGACGTGATCCAGTTTAGAGAACCCTGTCTGCCCCAACAATATCAATGAAAATACAGATGTAGGCGGAACCTGCCTCATGACCTGGGGCCCTTTCCAAAATGTGGGTAGGTGGGAATGATGCTAGGAAGCCACAGAGACCTGAGGCTGGACTAGGGGAAGTGGAGAGTAGGGCCTCCTGGCAGGCAATACTGCTAAAGACTTGACCTGCACGCATGCAGCACTTCAACCTGGGGGACAGGTTAAGACCCAGGGAGGAAAGAAAAGTGTGCCCTTTCTATCGCTGTAGTTCCCCGCCCCACCGCAGGGCGGCACTGTGAACAGCCAGGCCGCTTTCCAAGCTGTTGGCGCGCACGTGGTTTCTCAGCCACTTCGAGGCCTGAGAGAGGTGGTGAGGCAAGCGCATGCGCAGAGGAGGAAGGGCCCTCGTGCAGGGGCGGGGGCGAGTGCATGTCATTGAAGGACGCATGCGCAGAGGTGAGGCGAGCGTGGTCCGTAAAAGGCGCATGCGCAGGGCGAGCGGGCATTTGCCTCAGGTGAGAAAGGTCCGAGACCAGGTGGGCGAGCGTTCTGCCAACTGGCCCGAGGACGTGGGCGATTCGGTGCGAGGAGGAGGAGGCCGGAGGCAGGCAGCCGGGACTGCAGGCGCAGGCAGGATGCTCCAGGTCCTGGTACTGAAGGTGAGCGAGCACCCAGGGCCACCTCGCTTCTCGCTGCCTCACCGCGTGCCATCTTGGGGCCCCCGAGGTCCGGAGCCGCGATTTCAGACCAGCGAAAGGGGAGTTTAGCTTCCCTGTGGGAGGCAGTTGCGGACCCTCACGATGTAGGTTGCAGATGCCCTTGTACATGCCAGTGTGCTTTACGTTTAAATATTCAGCATATGAACCGGGCCCAGGGGCTCTTAGCCGCAGAGCCATCTCTCCAGCTCCAACTTACATATATAAGTATATATTTAAATTTGCTTCCTTTTCCCCAAATACTTCCTGGCAATCACATTACTGCTTTGTGAGGTTGACTACCTCACTTAAGTAGAGTTTGTTCTTCATGACTGGTTTTCCCCTTAACCCAGTGTCCTCAAGTTTCATCTCTTTCATAGCGTTATCAGAATTTCCACTTTGAATGCTGAATAGTATTTATTCCATGTATGTAAGTGCTGGGCTTATGCCCAGCTTGTAGTTATTTTTAAAGAACCACTGCATTTTTCTGAAGGAAGACCAAAAAGGAGGAAATAAATTTTCACTATTTTACATCCTAACAGGGCACCCAGTTCTAGATTCTCTTTATCCTTAACAAACACTTGTTAGCTGGACTTGGTGGCTTATGTCTTTAATCTCAGCGTTGGGAGGCAAAGACAAGCGGATCTGTCTGAGGCAGAGGCCAGCCTGGTCTACATAGTGAATTCTGGGTCAGTGGGCTACAGGGAGACCCTGTCTCAAAAAGTAAACAAAAGCAATTTTTATTTTCTTTTTTAATATTTATCATCCAAATGAGTGTTGGGTAGTATGTAGCTTGCTGTAGTTTTGCTTTGCATTTTGCTAGTGATTAGTGACATCAAGCCTCTTTTTAAAAAAGATTTGGGTTTTTTTTTTTTTTTGGTCTTTTTCAGACAGGGTCTCCCTGTAGCCCCAGCTCTCCTGGAACTCACCATGTAGACCAGTCTGGCCTTGAACTCACAGAGATCTGCCTGCCTCTGCCTCCCCAGTGCTGGGATTAAAGGCATTTGCGCCACCACACCTGGCAAAGGTTGGTTTTTAACTATGAGGGGACAGTATGTGCACATGAGTGCTGGTGCCCTAGGAGGGCAGAAGAGAGCGGCAGATCCGCTGGAGTTGGAGTTATAGGAGGTTGTAAGCTGCGGGATGTAGGTGCTAGGAACTGAATCCAGGTTCTGCAAGAGCACTCATAATCACTGAGGCATCCCTCAAGCATGTTTTCATTTGATTATTGGCCACCTGTATTTCTTTGGAAAAATACCATTTCAAGTCTTTTGGTTTTTAGTTATTTGGATTTATGTTGTGGTTGCAGAGTTTCTCTGTATGGTCTGAGTATTAACCCTTTATTGACTTGCAGCTATCTTCTCCCATTCTGTGGTGTGCTGGTTAGTTTTAATTGTCCATATAACACAATCTACACTCACCTGGGCACAGTCTCAATGAGAAATTCTCTAGATCGGGTCAACCTGTGGGCCTGTCTGTGGGGAGTTGTCTTATTGATTGGGAAGATGACCATGGTGGGCTTTGCCATTCTTGGGCTGTAGAATGAAGAAGGCTAATTGAATAAACAAGCTTGGATCCTGGCGTTCACCCTCGTTCTGCTCCACTGTGGATGTGATGTGACTTGCTGCTTCATCCTGCCTTGTCTGCCTCACAATAATGGGTTCAACCTGAACTTACAAACCAAATGGGCTCTTTCTTCCCCCATTCTGCTTTGTTCAGGGCAGTTTATCACAGCAATAGGAAGAAAACCAGGACATATGGTTGAGAGAGTCTTTTGGGACATAAAATATAATTCTGATGCATTTATTCAGTAGTTCATTTTTTCTTTTGTTGCTAGCAGTGCCTTTGGTGTTGTAAAGCGTTTGCCACAAGATTCTATACTTTTTTTTTTGAGACAGTCTCTCCCTGTAGCCCCAGCTGGCCTGGATCTCACAGAGATCCACCTTCCTCTGCCTCCCAAGTGCTGGGATTAAAGTCGTGCTCACCATGCCCAGCCCTAAAGTCTATACTTTTAATTAAGTCTTACATTTAGGTCTTTGATCCATTTTGAGTTGATTTTTTTTTTTGGTCTTTTTGAGACAGGGTCTCCCTGTAGCCCCAGCTGGCCTGGAACTCACTATGTAGACTAGGGTGGACTTGAACTCACAGAGATCCTCCTGCCTCTGCCTCCCGAGTGCTGGGATCTTTCTTTTTTTAAATATTTATTATTTTTATTTTACGTGTATGAGTGTATTGCCTGCATGTATGTGAGTGTACCTGTGTCGTGCAATGCCTCAGAGATCAGAAGAGCGCTTCGGATTCCCCTGGAACTGGAGTTAAGGATGGTTCATAGCCACCATGTGGATGCTGGGAATAGAACCTGGGTCAATTAAGAGCAGTCAGTGCTCTTAACCACTGAGCCATCTCTCCAGCCCCCTGATTTTTTTCTTATTATTTGTTTGTTTGTTTTGAATCAGGGCCTCCCTGTGCTCTGTGTAGACCAGGCTGACCTCAGTCTCACAGAGGTCCATCATACCCAGCCTGATACTTCTTTAAAACTTTTTCTAATTATGTGTATTGTGTGCAGTGTTGGGGACAGGATATAGGGCATGGCATGCATGTGGAGGTCAGAGAACGAGTTCGTGGAGTGGATTCTCTCCTTCCACATTTACACAGGTTTCAGAGATTGAACTTCAGGTTGCTAGACTTGCCCAACAAACGTCTTTACTATGGAGCCGTCTCACCGGCTCCTGGAGGTGATTTTTCTGTATGATAAGTTCATTCTTTCGCACACAAACATTCAGTTTCAGGCTGGAGAGCTGGCTCAGCAGTTAAGACTGCTCACTGGAGGGCAGGCGGCAGGTTTAGGAGGATGGCAGATGAGGAAGAAGAACCCACCTTTGAGGAGGAAAATGAAGAAATTAGAGGAGGTGCAGAATGTGGACAGGGTAAAAAAAAAAAAGAGACTTTTTTCTAAAGAACTGTGATTTGGGGATGGCCAGAATCCTTACACTGAGTCCATACATATTCTTGAAGATCTTGTCATAGAGTTCATCACTGAGGTGACTCACAAGGCAATGTCAACTGGAAGACAAGGTCAAGTGCAAGTTGAAGATGTTGTATTCTTGATCTGAAAGGACCCAAGAAGTTTGCCAGAGTTGAAGACTTACCATGAATGAAGAGTTGAAACAGGCTAGGGAAGATTTCGATGAAGCCCACTGTGGATCTGAAATTTATGTACTTTCTGAAATTTTTTTACCTTTTGTGGAAACCACATATTAGAACTGTGTCTTCAGTAACATCCTGATATCTGAGCATGTAATGAAAGATGTCTTCAGTTTAGATTAATAGCTGAGCCTTTAATCGCCTGCCTTTGTGTGACCATATCTGAAATACTTACTGAGTTTTAATGACTATACATAAGTGTTATAGACCATGCAGTTCCATCTGCTTTTAACAAGGGTAAAGTTTTGTGTAGGTTTTAGGTAGATTTGTGCCATCATAAGCTATAAACTGTAGATGCTTAATATGTCATATCTAAGTATCCTTTTGAGTTTACGAAAGTACAGATATGTGCTTTATTGTATTCTTGTTTTTAAACAACAGTGGTCTCAGATTATTAAAGATAATGAACTGATTTTTATTTCTTTTAAGGTGATGGCATAAAAAACTAAGTTTTTGTAAGAAATGTTTAATGGTCTTAAAAGATGGTTGGTTTTAGTGTTCTTTTCTAAGGGTTTTTTGTTTTGTTTTAATATAATGTAAAAGTTTCCTGTCAGTGCATCTGATTTAAAACCTTTTTAGGCTTATAACATATTTGTTAAGTTTTAGAAGACCTCGTTTTCCTAGATGACATTAAAAATTTTTAAAATAAATGCTTTCAGTAGCTGGTATAGCAATATTTAAAAAGCTGATGTCAGGGTAAGTATTTTAGGTGATGTTTTATTAACAGATTTGTAAATGCTTTCATTGTGGAAATATATTTGATTAAAACCATGTGTGACTAGACAAACCACTTTTTTTTGTTGTTGTTCTTTTTGAGACAGGGTTTCCCTGTAGCCCCAGCTGTCCTGGAACTCACTATGTGGACCAGGCTGGCCTTGAACTCACAGAGATCTTCCTGCCTTTACCTCCTGAGTGCTGGGATTAAAGGCATGTACCACCACTCCCGGCTACAAACCACTTTTGTAATTCAGAATATGCAGACCTTGTGTGTATTTAGCCTACTGTATTATTATTGTATGTAGTTTATAATAAAAATTAAAATTGCATTTAAAGAGAAAAAAGTGCTCACTGGTCTTCCAGAGGATGTGATTGTTTCCTAGCACCTGCACAGGTGGCTTGCAACTGCCTAAAACTCCAGCTCCAGGTGCCCTCTTCTGGCCTCCGTGGCTCCTGCACACATGTGGCATACAGAGACATACACACACACACACACACACACACACACACACACACACACACAGGGGGGGGGTCAGTTTCCCTGTGTCATTTTTGAGAGACTGTCATTTCCCCATAGAATGATTTTGGTACCTTTATCAGGTATTGTTGGACCACAATGCAAAGAGAGTTCCAGGGTTTTCATTCTTCTGGCCTGTACGTCTAGCTTTATAATGGCACCATACTGTTTTAATTACTGTAGTTTGTAATAAGTTTTGTTTTTGTTTTTTGAGACAGATTTTCTCTGTAGCCCCAGCTGTCCTGGAACTCAGAGATCTGCCTGCCTCTGTTTCCCAAGTACTAGGGATAAAACACGTGCCACCATGCCTGACTTGCAGTAAGTTTTAAAATCAGGCCTGAGTCCCTCTAGTCTTTTCCTTCTCTTTTCTTTCTTTCTTTCTTTCTTTCCTTTTTTCTTTCTTTCTATCTTTCTATCTATCTATCTTATCTATCATCTTTCTTTCTTTCTCTCTCTCTTTCTTTCTTTCTTTCTTTCTTTTGTTTTTGTTATTTGTTTTTTGAGACATGGTCTCTAGCTCTGGCTGGCCTGGAACTCACTGTTTAGACAGGCTAGTCTAGAACTTGCAGAGGTCTGACTGCTTCTGGATGAATGTGTTTGAGCCAGCTAGCTGTGTCTATTGGTTTGGGTGTTATAGAAGTTAAAAATCTGTCTTCCTCCAGAGAGTTGGACGACTGTCTTTCAGTGCTCAAATTTCAAAAGAAAGACATTGATATCCTTGAAAAGGACACTCCTGAGTTGTAGTGGTTGAATACAGTTGTAAGCCATATTTAGTTAAATGCTCTAAGAAAGGAATGTCAGTCCTGTGTCAGGTACTGTTAAGGACACAGTGAATTCTGGCAACACTGAACTTTCTCAGCCAGCATTTTGATGGCAGGCAGTCCTCAGGACAAGGTGTTCAAATATCTGTGTTGTGACTTCACAGCTCTTCGTTTATGGGATCTGACTCTTCCATGCTCTTTGTCACATATGCTGTGTTGAACTAAATCATGTGATGTGAAACTTCTACCACCCCAAGAGCTTATAAAAGGCTGATATTTCCTTTGTTCTTAGGATTGCTTGGGGGTTGCTCTGGACTCTTCTCTGAAAAGGCTCCTTTGCCCCCCGCCATCCCTTTCATGGTGGCTCTCTCCTTCCTTATCATTTTTGACTCTCCAATCTGTATATACACATATTATATGACTTTTTGTCTGTCCTCCCACCTCTAAGCCCAATTGTGGTCTTGAGATCCTTTTTCCTAATAAACCTCTTTCCTGAAGGGAATCATGTGTCATCTTCCTTGCGCAGACTGACCTTTGCTTTATCTTTCTTTATTTTGTTTAACATAGTGTCCCTTGCGGGTGACAATTATGTGACTTACAGACTATTTTCTGCCATAATCAAAATCAGAATGACTGCTATTGTTTTTTTCCAGTTATTACAAAAATGTTCAAACAGCTAGGCATGATGGTGCACACCTTTATCTGAGCACTCAGGAGGCAGAGGCAGAGGCAGATGGATCTCCATGAGTTTGAGGCCAGCCTGGTCTCTGTAGCACCATAGTAGTTCCAGGCCAGCCAGGGCTACATACTGAGATCCTGTCTCAAAAAAAAAAAGTTCAGATATTCAGAGAGTAGAAAAATACTAAACACTTATATTCCTGACCTCTGGTACTTAGGATACAAAATCTGGGGAGTGTCTTTAGGTCCTAGGCCCTCTCAGTAGGCAGAGGTAGGGATGTGCAAATTTAACTTTCATATTTGTATTTGTTTTGTTTTTGAGACAGAGTCTCACTATGTAGCCCTGGATGACCTGGAACTTACTATGTAGACTAGGCTGGCCTTGAACCCAGAGTTCTGCCTCTACCTCCCCAGTGCTGGGATTAAAGGCGTACACTACCATACCTGGACCATTTGTGTATCCCTGCATGTATGTAAGTGCACGTGTGTCAAGGTTAGAAGAGGGTGTTGGGTTCCCCCGAAACTGGAGTTATGGATGGTTGTTAGCTGCTGTGTGGGTGCTAGGAATTGAACCCAGCTCCTCTGTAAGGGCAGCCACTGCTCTTAACCACAGAGCCATCTCTCCAGCCCAACTTTTGTGTTTTTTTATTTGCCTCTAAAAAGGATGACTTTTGTGGGATTTTTATTACACTTACTGATTTATTGTGTGTGTATATATGTGTGTGTGTGTGTGTGTGTGTGTGTGTGTGTGTGTGTGTGAGTGAGTGATAGCACATATGTGGAGGTCAGAGAACAACTTCTGTGAATTCTCTCCTACCTACCATATGATCTGGAGATCAAACTCAGGTCATCAGCCTTTACCCTCAGAGCTGTCTCACTGGCCTGATTTTTTAATAATCATATGTAACATGGAGACTGGAGAGATGGCTCAGTGGTTAAGAGCAGTGGCTGCTCTTGCAGAGGACCCAGGTTCAATCCCCAGTACCCACATGGTGGCTAACAGCTGTCCTTAACCCCAGTTCCAGGGAATCTGATGCCCTTTTCTGACCTCCACATGCATTGCATGACATGGGTGTGTTTTTATACATGCAGATAAAGAACTCCATATGCATAAAATAATTTTAAAATTGTGTAACACGATCAATTCAGAGAGCTCTGACTTTAATTCTGCTCGTTCTTCTTTGTTCTTCCTTCTCCCTATAGGCAGTAATTTATATTTTTTGTTTGGTTTATCTGTAATCTATTTTTTTCCTCATGCTGAAAGTAAAATTCAGAGCCTTACACTTGTTAAGTGAGTGCGCTGTTATTGAGCTGCATCCCCAGCCCTTCATTGTTTTCTTTCATTTCTCCTTTTCCTCTTCGATCAAGCATCCCACACACACTTTGAGACAGGGTCTCATAGCTCAGAGGTGGCCTTGAACTCATTGTGTAGCTGTGGATGATGAACCCTTGATCCTCCTGCCTCTACCCTCCCAAGTTCTGGGATTACAGGTGTATGCTATCACATCCCATTTTGTGCCATACTGGAGATGAAACCCAATGTGTCATGCTTGCTAGGCAACCATGCTGTCAACTGAGCTACATCTTCATTCAGCCCTGTTTCCTTTTTAAATAAATGACATAAGGTACATGTGTTCTTACTTCTTTCTTTTTCTTACAAAAGAGATTAAAATTATCATCCCAAGCCTTGCTTATGTATATTGTGTATATTTTCAAAATACAGAAGATCAAGAGAACCTTTTTGCCTTTTTTGGGGGTGGGAAAAGTTTGAGAAAGGTTCTAGATGTGTAGTCTAGTCTGGTTTTGAACTCATGATCCTCCTGGCTCCATCTCCTGAATACTAGCATTATAGGTATGTGCCCACCATGCCCAGTGTCCCATTTGCTTTTCAAGTTATAAAACATAATTGAGAATTACTTGCCAATTCTTAGGTGTTTTTGGAATTTTATCTTTGATCTGACCATTTTAAAGCAAAGGTACCTGTAAAAAAATTGTTAGATCATTACATTGGAAATGATTATTTTGATTTTAAAGCTTTATATTTTATGGTCCTACTTTTAAACCATATACTATTTTGTCTTTTTAAAATGTTACAGATTGAAGATCCAGGTTGCTTCTGGGTAATCATAAAAGGATGTAATCATATTTTAGATCAAGATATCGACTATCAGAAACTAAATAATGCCATGAATAACTTCTATAACAGCATGTGTCAAGACATAGAAATAAAACCATTAATGCTGGAAGAAGGGCAGGTATGTACCTAAGGTGCCTTTATCCATTTTGAAACACTACTCAAAATGCAAACTATTCTGGTGCCTATGTGATGAAAGCTTTTGGAGTATCCTAATTGCTCACAATCATTGCCAGGCACTAGGTTTTTTATTTTGCACAAGACGGAATGTAGCCTTGGAAAGAGTGGTTAGGTGATTTCCTGTGGTGCAAAGGAAATAACGGATTGTCAGAACCCAGGCAGTAAGTTATCCACTTGGCACTGGGGACTTGGAGATTAGCTTCAGCACACATGTAGGGACTTCAACAAATAGCACACTGGGATTTTAGCTAGGACTGGTGCCTCTTTTTTGGTTACTCACAGCTTTGAGCAACTCATGTTTCTTTACTTGTGCCTGCGGTAACCCCTCTTTGTTTTCTTGCAACATCAACTCCCATTGTCCACTGAATGTGTTCAGTTCAGGAGAGCAGAGAAAGGAAAGAGTTTAAAGAAATAAGAACAAGAGCCAGACCTTCAATAGGCAAACAATATGTTCCTTTTATTCAAAGGAACATAGCAAAGGGCCTCTGCTGTCCATGGATATAGACATCAGCAAACCTAAAGAGAGTAATTTGGATTTATATAGGGACTCTGGTGAATGCAGCTGTAGGAATTTGCTTGATGTCAGTGTTCTTGGGGTGTTTGAGGGTCTCCTTACTGAGGCTGTTTTCTTAGGATGAGCAGACATGTTATATTTTGGCACAGCAGGTTGACTCTGCAAACAGTCTGTCAGCCAGGGAAGTAACCAGTTGATAAGGCCTGATTAAAGGCCAAGCTGCCAATTTGGGCCATTTGGCTACCTTGAGGAATTTATGTAAGGAAGCTTATGACTCTCCTGCAATTTATACATTCTATCAGAATGGTTCTCTTGTCAGGCCCTTTTTCAGAATAGTCAATTTTTATAGTACTGTGATGGGAAAAGATTTATAAACTCATTATGAAAAAAAATGAGAAAACATTTTTGAGTTCTCCCCCCCCAGATTATCACTGATAACATGATGCTTTTATGGACCCTGTAACATTGAAAATTGGCTTAAAAAATGAAACTAGGTCAGTTGGTCCTTTAAAACACAATAAAGTTAGCCAGGTGTGGTAGTGCGCTCCTTTAGTCCCAGCACTTGGGAGGCAGAGGCAGGTAGATCTCTGTGAGTTTGAGGCCAGCTGGGGCTACAGGGAGACCCTGTCTCAAAAAGACCAAAAAAGCCGGGCATGGTGGCACACACCTTTAATCCCAGCACTCGGGAGGCAGAGGCAGGTGGATCTCCATGAGTTCAAGGCCAGCCTAGTCTACATAGTGAGTTCCAGGACAGCTGGGGCTACAGAGAGACCCTGTCTCAAAATGACAAAAAATAAAATTGAGATAGCCTGTTTACTTCCTAGAATATGAACTTCCTGTTGTATTGACTCTGGGTGGTGGAAGCCCTAGTAGAACACAATTTCAAAGTCTGCTGACTGTGGCGATTAAGTGTGCAACACATTCCCACAAGCTTCTTTGATGTTAGCATTAAGTCAGAATTCTTCAGTGATCTGACTCTTGTCCTTTTTGTGATATGGCTATACTATAGTTTCCAATGTCAGTTTGCTGGGTGGCTTTATAAAAGCCTGTGGTCAGCATATGATTTCCTTGGCTGTGATTTCCTGTCAAGTGACCTAGTGGTCCTGTGGTCCAGTCAGGATACTAAGGACTATCACTTCGTCACAGTGGTTCCCTTTAAGAGGACCTGCATTTATTCAGAATTCAACAGGTAGTTTTTGAAGACTTGCATATGTCAGGTACTATACGAGATGCTGGTATTAGGTCAGTAAACAAAACAAACAAAAATCCATACTATTGTAGATCCAAGGACCATTTATACTAGAGAGGAAAGTGTGGGGAGTGCCATGGAAGAGATTGGGGATAAGGAGCTGGGGTCGCACTTTCATCGTGAGCTGATATTTCACTTGATCGACAGGGTTTTTTTTAATTTTATGTGTATGGGTGTATTGCCGGCATGTAGGTAAGTGCACCCGTGTCGTGCAGTGCCCATGAAGGTCAGAAGAGGCTGTCGGATCCCCTGGGACTGGAATTATGGACAGTTGTTAGCCTCCATGTAGGTGCTGGGATTTGAACCCGGGTCTTCTGCAAAAACAACCAGTGTTCTTAACTGCTGAACCATCTCTCTAGTCCCTTTATTTTTATTTTATTTTATTATTTATTTTGATCAACAGGTATTTATAGTTTTTGTTTTTCTGATGAAAAAGGATAATGTAATGCAAGTTTTAAAATTTGACTTTTTGTTTTTTAACTTTTTTGGTCTTTTTGAGATGGGATCTCCCCGTAGCCCCAGCTGTCCTGGAACTCACTATGTAGACCAGGCTGGCCTTGAACTCACAGAGATCCGCCTGCCTCCCAAGTGCTGGGACTGCAGGCCTATGCCACCACGCACGGCATATTTGACTTTTTAAAGATTACCTTCAGTTAAGGAGTCAAAATAATTTTATAATACTCCCCTTACCTACAGGGAATATATTCTAAGACACCCCCCATGGATGCCTGAGTCCTATATACAGTATGTTTTCCCCTATACATACATATGTTATGATAAAGTTTAATTTATAAATAATGCATAGGAAGAGATTGACAACAATCACAAAATAAAACAGTTTATAATATACTGTAATACACTGTGATGTGAGGCCATTTTTAGGTAAAATAAAGGTTATTTGCACCCTAGTACTTCAGTACTATGACAGCTAGTCTGATGTTCAAGACAAGATGACTAGCAGGCCAATAGTATATGTATAGTGGATATGCTGGAGAAGTCAGTGATTCATATTCTGGACTCAAAAGGAGCAAGATGGTACAAGATTTCCTTACACTTCTCAGAGCAGAGGATAACTAAAGTTATGAATTGTTTAATTCTGGATTTTTTCCATTAATATTTTCAGATTGTAGTTTACTGTGGGCAAGGGAAACTGTGATAAAAGGAACCCCTGAAGTACGAAAAGACATTTCTGAAGTTCTTTCCTGACAGGCAGTGTTTACTGAGGGTGGCTTCAGTTCTCTGCACCTCTGTCCTATAGTCTGAGGTTGGCTGAGATGATTTGAGGACTTCAGTTTTCTCCTATAACTGGAGATTTACCATGAACTGTCTTTCACTTTGCAGGTGTGTGTGGTGTATTGTCAGGAGCTAAAGTGCTGGTGCAGGGCTGTGATTAAGTCAATCGTCTCTTCTGCAGACCATTACCTGGCAGAATGTTTCCTTGTGGATTTTGCCAAGTACATTCCAGTAAAATCTAAAAAGTACGTTTGCACTAATTTTGCCTTATATTTCTTAAGGAGACATCAGTTTTAAAGAATAATGTTCATTTTAAAGTAAGGTGAGAGCCCTGGAAGCACAGGTGATCACAGTGAGGCTCACAGGGGGCTTCTTTCCTGCACGGGCAGGCAAATCCTATGTGCCTCTTGATGCCTCTGCCACTGGTATCTCATCTGTCCCCTTAGCTTGTTCATGGAAAGAGTGGGCTCTGTAGAGAGCTGTGGCTCAAAGATTCTTCCAAGAAGTAGAAAGTTTCTTGTCTCAGAAAAGGGGAGATTGCTGGGCCACCCTCAGGGTACACAGGACAGAGTACACAAGTACGTATTCCTGATTATCTTGCATAGCAAAGGGAGGGTATGACCATCTCTTAGGGTAAGATACAGTAGCCAGATGTCCATTGGGCAGCCTGAACTGATTCTGGGACCACATGTTACAATTTATTGGAACTATCAGCAAGTCAATCTTTGCATTTTGTGACAGTCTTTCCATTTTACTTCCCACAGTAAAAGGTTGTCAGTTAGGTAACTATGAGGACCCTCTTCACACTGAAGGAGCTATACCAAATATGCTTCAGTTGTAGTAAGAGGCCCATCTTAAGTAGAGGACAATGGGAATTTACAGACACTTAAGGAAGGAGTAGCTTGTGGTTCTACACCTTTACAGCTATAATTGTTTTTAAAAATACTGTGTTTAACTGCTGGGGAGCTTTTTAGATTGTTTGGGGCAAGAGAATTCTATGATAAACAAGCATTCAGGATAAGCCTGAGAGGCTGCCCATAGAATGAATGGTGGGGACCCAGGGAAGAGAACAAGTTTATGTTGAAGTCTTAGGTTAAAGTGGCCTGTTGTTTACCTCAAGAGCATTGGAGTAAAAAGCTTGAATTTCTTATTTATCAAATCTGAGTTCAACTCTTTTAAAAGTTGGAGACTAATAATGACAACATTCATTTGTTTACAAAAACTATTGTGTGATTCTGATCATATGATAGAATTGGTATTTTACTTATTTATTTATGTATATATTTGTTGTGTGTGTAAATTGAGGGGGGCACATGCCATGGTGCATGCATGTAGGTCAGAGGATGATTGGAAGGAGTCAGGTCTCTCCTTCCACCATGTGGGTTCCAGGGATTGAACTCAGGTTTTTAGGCTTGATGGCAAGTGCCTTAATCACTAAAGCATCTCACCTGCCAAAATTTGGTGTTTAAAAATCTAAACTAGCTAAGCATGGTAGCACATGCCTTGTAATACTAGCATTTGGGACATGGAAGCAAGAGAATCAGGAGTTTAGGGGCATCTTTGGCTAAAATAGCAAGTTCCAGGCCAGTCTGGGTTATGTTAGGCCTTGTCTTAAAACATAAAATAAAACTTCAGACTTTTTTCACAGGCTCAAGTGTTACTCAGTGTTTTTCTCCTTTTTGGAGCTTCACTGGACATTTTTCCCTAAACATCTGTTCCTGTGCCTTGAAATTGTAATAGCACAGATGGACTGTTATGTACTGTGTGTAGACCTCCATTTTATACATAAAAGATAAGTTTTCTTTCACTCCTTGGGGAACAGTTTATGCCCCCTAGCCAAATGACTCTAAGCACTGTTCCTGATTATCAGAAAAAGGAAAAGTTGGTTTCTGTGTATTTCATATTACGTATATAAGTATTAAAAGTCTGCTTTTTAAATGAGTTTTTCGTGTATACTTTTTATTTGTAATAGAAGTATTTGTATTTTACTTTTAAGCATCCGAGTTGCAGTTGAATCTTTTATGCAGCTTCCTTATAGAGCAAAAAAATTCAGACTTTATTGCATAAAACCTGTGACATTGCATATTGACATCTGTGAAGACAATGCTGAAATTGCGTAAGTAGAGCTTCTAAATTAAATGAGTCATGAGAAAGCCTTAAACTAAATATATGGATTCATTTGAAATCCCTTTCCCTGTAGCAGTGCTAAGCAGTTTCACAGCTGTGCTCATCAAGGTCACTCCTGAGTCACCCCCATCTTAAAGGCCACTATGAGGAAATTTGTTTGGGGAAGGAAGGCTTGAACCTGAGTGTGTTGCCCTTTTTGAAGTTGTAAAAGTAATAAATTAACTGGGAAGAAAAACAGAATCACGCACCATTAAACAAGTGTATTATCTAAGGACAGTGGTCCAAGTCTGTAGTCTCAGCTGCTTGTGGGGCTAAGGCAGGGGCTCAGGAGTTTGAGGCCAGCCTAGGCAATATAATGGAACATTCCCCCCTCCTAAGAAGACAGTTTATTGCATTTCTCTCTAACACCACATCCTTCCTCCTAGGAGGTTTTGTGGTCTGTTAAAACTCTGAACATCCATACCTTTGTTAGTGTTTTTATATACATCTGTGTGGCACTTCAGTGAAAATTACAACATACTGTCCTGTCTTATTTGCAATATTAATTTAAGAACGTATCTCTAATTTTAGTCTTTTTTATAGTGGATATAATTATTTGAGTTAAACCTTTTACCTCTTGATGGCTATTTTCTTTCCAAACTACTTGGCATGTCCATATAAAACACATAGATGTGGGGCTAGGAGGATGGCTCTGTGGATAAAGTGCTTGCAGTGCATGCATGAGAACTGGAATTCAGATCCCTAGCACCTACTTATGAAATCCAGGCAGGTAAATAGGATCAGATGTGTGTATGGCAGTCTACCTGTAATCCCTGCTCAGGAGGCAGAGGCAGCGAATCCCCAAGACAAGCTGACTAGCTGGATCGGTGAGCTCTTCACTGAGCGAGAAACCCTCTCTCAGTAAATAAAATTGGAGAGAAATTGAGGAAGACACCTGATGTCAACTTCTGGCTTCCACATGCATGTACCACTGCACAGATGTGTACTCACACATGAACACATACATACATGTGCAATGCACATACGAACCGCCCCCCCCCACATATACAGGTATATATGTGAGCATCGCTCCCTCTCCTCACTCCTTTCTCCCAGCATCTGATAATGGTGCCAATGTTTGTACAGGATAGCTCCCTGCATTGGCAGTGCTGTGTTAGGTATGGGTGTTACTTCTGCTCTCTGGGATAGGCATTACTGAAGGGCTTGGTTTCTGTTTTCTGTGTCCTGTCGAGTTAGCAGGAAAGTCCCAACCCTTCCAGTACTGTGACATTTTGGAGAGAAAAGCCTCAGGAAGCCGCCCTGTTTGGACTCCACTGACATGTCCTAGCATTGTTGCAATGTAGAAGCTGCCTCTCTGGATGCTTTCATGGCTCTTTGTAGACATGCCCATCCTCGACTCCCCAAACCCTTCAACAACAACACCCACAATTCCCTTGAGGTGATACATCAATTTTGTGGGTAGCCTTGGAATGTACACAAATAAAGCCAGCTCATCTGGAGGCCAGTGCTTCCTGTAAGGTTGCTCTCCACCCAGCCCACCACTTACGCACCTTGGCCCTGGAACACTGGGAGTAAGGGCCCCAGGACAATGGCCTATGCTCACTGTGTTCGTCTTTCAGAACCAGCTGCTGGTTCTCCAGGTATGAGGTAGATACTGGCCCTGTACGTCCCAGGACCCCTGGCTCGGCACTGCAGTGGTCTTCAGGGAAGCTCTTCTGCACATCAGGGACCTTGCCCAACTCTATTCATTGTAGACGGGGCTTCAGATACGTGTTCTCACTAAGTTTCATTCACCTTCAGTATGTGATACTTTTTCATTTGCATTTTACCTAAAACAATGTTCTTAATATTTGTATTGTAATTTTTGATAAATTTTATCAAATTTCCCTCGAGAAAGACTAGCAACTTTTGCCACCATTGCTATATAGGAAGTACTGCTTTGCAGGTGCATACATAGCTATCAGTAAAGTGCCTGCTACGCAAGCAAACCTGAATTTTGGATTCCCAGAACCCATGTGAAAAATTAGTTAGGCCAAGTGACATGTGCCTGTTAACCTAGCCTGGGGGAGGAGAAGTGGGGACTGGCAAACTCCCGAAGCTCATTGGCCAGCCAGCCTAGCCAAATTGATGAACTTCAGGTTCAGTGAGACACCCTAAAAAAATAAAAAAGTTGGAGAGTGATTAAGGAAAGACACCTGACATCAACCTGAGCCTCCACACATACCCACATACACTTGTACACACTGCACACAAAACTACAGACATGCAAAAATATAAAAAAAAATAAGTGCTGCTTTTCTTGCGCTATGTTGAATGTTATTGGTATTCTTGGCTATTTCCTCTTGTACTTATTTTCTGTCTCGCGTGTGTGACATTCTTACACTGTATTGATTTTTCTCTTGAGTTTGTTGCCTTACAGGAGCTTAGTACATTTCTTTCTAAAAGATTATTAGGTAGTTTTTTCATGTATAGTAAGGTTTTGGAACCATTATCTTTATGTCCTCCTTTTAGAAATCCTTTATAATTATTTGAAGTTACATGCTTAATTTCTTTCATTCATCACCTTTTCTTTTTTAAAAATTACTTTTATTTATGTGTGCATATATCTGTGAGTGAGTGCCACGTATGTACAGTGCCCCCAGAGGCCAGAAGAAGGCATCAGATCTCAGATCAACCTACAGTATCTTCTGTCACAGTAGCACTGTCCCCAGTTAGCTGCCACAAACCCATCTTCCTAAGCAAAGCATATGCTCTCCACAGAGCAAGACCACGTGTGTAGAGTCCCGCACTGGCTACCAGAGAATGGCATAATACACACAGAGCAAAGCAACTCAAGAGATGGTCATGGCAATAGCAAACATACTCTGGGAAAGCCAGCTACACTCTTCGTATGCTGTTCCTCACTCTGCAGCTCTAGTGCTCTTGCCCTAGCTCCTTTTGATTTCCATCGGTTTACTCTGTCTGCATCTTTCCTATACTTCACAAAGAAAAGAGGAAGAGTTGGGCCTCTGTGCCTGTCTGAGCTCTGAAGGTGTCATTGGCAGATATATCTGGGATCTATACCCTGGAACAGAGTTGGTATAGGCTCCTTGTTATCTGAATTATGAGCTTGATATCTAATGTCAGAAACACCCACCATTGAGTTAACAAAATGACGTAGTGTATTAGCATGTCATTTTTATGTAATGAAGTTGCATCTGTTTACTGTTCTAGGCCCACCACAAAATGGGACAGTGCAGCTATCCAGTACTTTCAGAACATTATAAGAGGTAAGGCCAGTGTATATTTTCTGTTCCCTGCTTTGAACTGACACCCATGGTGGCTTATGCTTCTGTTGCCAAAGTGTTTGAGAGGTACCTGCTCAGCTGTTTGGCCTTCCTCATATGGGGCTCCTCCTGGGAGAGGCTATGCCCCTGTAATTTTGCAGGTGGTCTTGGGTGTTAGCAACTGTCAGATGAAATAAAGTGTCAGGTTGTGTAGAGGACCCCTTGCACAGTAGTAATTCCCGACTCTCAGTTTGCATTTCAATGCTAAGGGGTACAAGGTAAATGTATGCATATTTTCTTGACCCGGCAGTTGATCAGAAGGTCAGCTTCTTTCAAGGAGCAAGGCATAGTAAGTGGACATTTGTTGTATAATAATCATCGTTGCTACCTTAAAGTGTATAAAATGTCTTTGTTTATGTCAGTGACTATAAAATGCTGTTTTGTGGCATCTCTCCTACCTCTTGCCAGCCAGTATTCCCATAGCTAATGCCACTTCTAAGGGCTGTTCTGAAGTATGAGTGGGTATGAAAGGCCTGAGCATTGCCTGCTACCTAGATGGGCCATAATTACCTCAAGTAAACTCTACTCATTTGTGTGTCCATTCATGCCATTTAGCAACTACCCAGGTGGAGGCGAAATTATGTGCTGTGGAAGAAGATACTTTTGAGGTTTACCTTTATGCAACAATAAAAAATGAAAAAGTAAGTCAACAATTTGGGTTTTTCTGTTTTGTTTTGTCTTGTTTTGCTTTGTTTTGAGACAGAGCATTGTGTAGCCCCAGCTGGCCTTGAACTTTGATGTTGCCAAGACCAACCTTAAATTTTTAATCTCCCTGCTGCTATATCTGAAGTGCTGGAATTAGAGGCATGGGCCACTGTATCTGGACAAGATTTGTATTTTGAAAATATATTTTTCCTTATTTTAAATTTTATTTTAATGAAACTAATTCACACAGAATAGAAATTATTTTAACCTTTGAAGGTCTAGTTTAGAATAGAAGCTAAGTACTCTACTATTGAGCTATACCCTAACCCTTCTTTGCAGATTACCGTAAAAAATGACTTCAGCATTTAGAGAGCATTTGTTATTTATTATTATTATTATTATTATTATTATTATTATTATTATTATTATTATTATTTGTGTGTACATATGTGTGATGAATAGCTTTAGTTATCAACCTGACACACCTGGGTTGAAGGATCTCAATTGGTGAATTGCCTCCATTGGACTGGCCTCTGACCATGTCTGTGGGTCATTTTCTTGATTACTGACTTACATAGGAGAGCCCAGCTCACTGTGGGTGGTGCCACCCCTGGGCAGGTGGGTCTATGTTGTATAAGAAAGGAGGTTGAGCAGGGGCCAGGAGAACAAGCCAGTAAGCAATCTCCATGGCCTGTGCTTTAGCTCATGCCTCCAGGTTCCTACCCTGAGATCCTACCTTGGGCTTCCTCAGTGATGAACTGTGACCCAGGAGATGTAAGCCAAGTAAACCCTTTTCTCCCCAAGTTGGTATTGGTCAGAGTGTTTTGTCACTGGAATGGAGAAACAAACTAGAACAATATGTTTGTGTATGCTTGCCCATGTGTACATGTATAGAGATCAAGAGTCCATGTTGGGTGTCTTCCTCTCTTGCTCCCACTCTGGTTTGTTTTGTTTTGTTTTGTTTTGTTTTGTTTCGTTTTGTTTTGAGACAGGGTCTCCCTGTAGTCTCAGCTGACCCGAACTTGCTATGTAGACCAGGCTGGCCTTGAACTCACAAAGATCCACCTGCCTCTGCCTCCCAGGTGCTGGGATTAAAGGCGTGCGCCACCACACCCGGCCTAAGAAAACATAATTTTTATAAATACTCATCTCCTCTGTGATGGTGTCCTAGGGATTGACCTAGGGCCTTGTACATGACTAGGCAAGTGCTCTGTCACTGAGCTATGTCCCTAGCCCTCATTTCTGTGATGTTAATTCACTCCCCCACATCGTGTACATGATATGTGTTCATTGTAAAGAATTCAGATACCATACGTGGAAAGTGGATACCACATGTACGCCAGTTCCTCCTCTCGAGATGTTAGCTGCTACATTTGGCTACCTGTGCTTTCTGTTAGGTCAGCATAAGGTGCCACTCTGTGCCCATAGCAATTATACTGGAAATAGTTACAGAAGAGATGCAAAAAAAAGAAAAAACCAAATTCAGGTATTTCTAATCGAGTTTAAAATTGGGGGGGCAGAGAGAGAGGATGGCGGTGAGAAAGTAGAAGGGATGGGAACCAGCAGGAGGGTATAAAGTAGGAGATACAAGGTGTGTGGTGTACGTGAATGAAATGCGCATGCAACTTATCATTTTGTTCAATGAATATACACTAAAAAATTTAAACCGGGTACAGATTTTTGTGTTGACACAGATTCTCCTTAACCTTGTATAGAATCTATAGAATCATATTACAATGATTAAAACCAGAATTAACATTGATAACAATATTATTTTTTTTTTTGGTCTTTTTGAGAAAGGGCCTCCCTGCAGCCCCAGCTGGCCTGGAACTCACTATGTAGACCAGGCTGGCCTCGATCACACAGAGATTCACCTGCCTCTGCCTCCCAAGTGCTAAGTCTAAAGGCATGTGCCCAACTTGATAACAATTCTATTTTGAACCTTATTTGTTTCATCACCACACTTTTTTTCTGGTCTGGGCCCTAAGCTGGGACATCCTTCCTCACCATTAGTGACTTGACATCTGTGAAAGGCTGACACATCTGCAGATATTTTATGAATGCTACTTAAGTTGGATTTGTCTGATACTTCCTCATCTTCAGTCAAGGTTGTATGCTTTTGGCAAGAGTAACAGGTGATATTGTGCCTTTCTCAGTGAGTTGTAGGAGAGCTCATACTGTTCACATATCTGATTCCCAGTGATTAGTTTCTGTGGCTATCACCTAGGTAACATGGTGCTGACCAGGTCTTTCCTGTGTAGAGTTGTTTTCCCTTTTTTAATATTTTTAATTAAAAAATATGTGTATGAGTGTTTTGCTTGCACATATGTAAGTGCACCACATGCATGCAATGTCTGCAGAGGCCAGAAAAGGGTGTTAGATTCCCTGAAACTGGAGTTAAAGATGGTTGTTACTGACATGTGGGTCCTAGGAACTGAACCCTGGTCTTCTGCAAGAGTAACAAGTACTCTTAACCACCGAGCCATCTCTCCAGCCCTTTGTTCTCCTGTTTGATACTAATAAATATTTTATGAGTAGATACTTTGAGCCTGTCTAAATTTAACCCATCCATGTGTTTTTGTTTTTTGTTGTTTTGTTTTGAAACAAGGCCTCCATATGTAGTCCAGACTAGCCTTGAATGTGTACTTCTGCCTCTGCTTCCCAAGTGCTGGAATTACAGTGTGTGCTACTATGCCTGGCTTTATCAGTGACTTTGAACTTTAAAAGTTGTTAATGTATAACAATGTCATTAGGAGTTGGTTTAATTTATATCTGTTTACCCAGATAATAGTACTAGGATCTCCGCTATGAACTATGACCTATCAAGCCACAGATTCCTAGGCCTGATATCAGTGTCAGGTATGTGATCCATCTTATGAAATGGACCTCAAATCCACTCAGAAAGTGGTTGGTTACTCTGGTAACATCCGTGCCACCATTGCACCAGTCGACATATTTTGCCAGATTAGTGCATCTCTCAACTCTGACGAAAGAAGCTTCCTCATGTAGCAGATGGTGATTAACACAGAGACCCACAACTGGCCAGTTTGCAGACAATAAGAGACTGCAGTGTGCTTATCCTTAAATAGATCACCTATATGACACTTCTGCCATCCAGTGCTCAAGGATCATTGTGAAAGGTGGGGGTGGGGGGTTGTAACAGTCAGAGGTGGTGGATGACCACATGGAAACAGTTTTGATTTTTGGTCTTTTTGAGACAGGGTCTCCTTGTAGCCCCAGCTGACCTGGAACTCACTAGGTAGACCAGGCTGGCCTTGAACTCTCAGAGATCCGCCTGCCTCTGCTCCAAGTGCCTGGCAAGGAAACAGTTTTCCAACAGTAACAGCTGGGCAATTACACATATGAACTCATTCTATGATGACATCATGCACAAGACCCATGTAAACTCAAGCCAGACAGAATTCCAGCATAGAAGTGGGGAAGTGGATAGGAAACCCCACCTTTAGCTGAGTAACTGTTGGCAACTGATAGCTTCTGGGGAAGGAGAGTCAGTCTTCTTTAAAGATATGGCTCAGTAGTCTAACCAGGCTCTGGTGGATAGACCCACACCAAAGGACACTTGGGAACAGAAGCTTGACTCTGTAGGCTTTAAATACATACATACATACATACACATACACACGTGTGTGTATAATGGAGTACATGAAATTGGGTAGGGGTTGTAGGGGGTGTAGATAGGGGAGGGGGTCTAAATAAAAAAAATGCATTGTTTGAAAATTGTAAAAATTCAAATTAAAAAACTTTAAAAACTTATTAATGTGATGTCTATCTGTTCCCATCATTCCTACTTTTTTAATGAGATTCTGCTGGAACAAAGGACCATCTGTCTTCCCTCCATTTAAGCTATTCAGCAATTGATATTAGTGTGGAATTTGTTATTTTATTTGAGGATTTATCCATTACTTTCATTATTGTCTTGTTCAAACTTGCTCAAATTGTGATCATTAGAAGTTATTCCAAGTGGCCCATGTGTCCTGTGAACATGTTCCGCCATTATGTGAACACTCCTACTTCTGATGCCACCAGATGCTCCAGGACCTTGTTTTAAGTTTTCATTTTCAACTCTCCTAGCTCTATAAATCAACTACTCCAGGAAGAATTGGTTCCCTTTTCAAGAGTGATGATTAGATAACACCTGAGGGCACTAAATGTGCTACTGACTAGGCTGTCATTGATTATGTATTCTCTTGGCAGAGAGAGTTAGAAAATATATGTATACGTGCTAACTCATTCATGCACACAACCTGTTTCTAATCTGTCAATTTCTACATGTGTTAAGTGCTCAGATCCATCTAATTTCAGTTCAACGTCATCACCCTCCTTTTCCTTATTTATTTGTTTGTTTATTTATTTATTTATTTATTTATTTATTTAATTTTCAGATAGGGTCTCACTTTGTAGCCCTGACTCTCCTGGAACTCACTCTGTAAATCAGGCTGTTCTATTTCTGCCTCCCAAGTGCTTCGATTAAAGGTGTTCCCCACCACACTGGGCTAGATGCTTTTGGTTATATGGCCATTTTCACAATAGTAATTCTACCTATCCATGAGCATGAAAGATTTTTCTATCTCCTAGTGTCTTGCCTTTTCTTTCTTCAAATGTCTTTTTAAAAATTTTTATTGAATTTTTGTGTATTTTATACAGAAAATCATCTTTATACCACCTTTCCCTTTGGCACCCTCCCATTACCTCCCCCAATGAAATTTATACATTCTGTCATTTGTGTTAAGAGACATCCCTCAGTGCAAGTTCATCCACTGGGGTTTAGTCGGCCCATCTACAGTCTCTCCCTTCAAGAAGATCAGCTCTTCCTCACCCAGCAGTAATCAGCTGCCAGTAATTCTTTGACTAAGATTGGGGCATGCTGTTAATTTCCACATTTCTGTGCTGGGTTTTTGTCTGCCTAAGTTTGCATGGGTCTTGTGCATGCTGACACCATTGCTGTAGGTTTGTATGAGAAGGATCCCAGGTACCT